CCCCCCCCAGACTTGCCCAGATATGCCGGGAGAACCGAGCGAAGAGTTCTTGGGCGTTTCAGTCGGTGGCGGCGCCTGGGGACTCGGAGTTAGCTTCAAGTCTCGTTTACTTCCTGCGCCTGTCGCCATGGAAATGAAGTGAAGCGAGGGGGGGGGGAAGTTAATCTCAGCGCGCTGTCTTTCGGCAGCGATTTGGAGTCGTGAGGCCGCGGTGTGCCTCAACCGGCAGCCGCGGCTACGGATCCGGAACTCGTGCTGGTTCTGACCAAGCCGCGAATAGCACCGCCTCAGCTTTCTACTTTGTTCAGAGTTTTGCAGTGATGGATGGAAGGGGTTGCATTTGCAGCCCTGTTCCTTGTGAAAGCATGCTCATTTTTAAAAATTGCATAGGGCCTTCCTTCCAAGGAGTGTAGGGGAGTTTCCATGTTTCCCCGATTTTTTTCCCTCACAACAATCCTGCGAGGTAGGGAAGCCTGAGAAACAGTGATTGGGCCACATTCACCCAGTGCTTTCAGGGATCAGTGGGGATTAACCAACTTGGGTCTCCATATTTAAGATCTCTCTCCCCAAGCTAGGTTACATATGTTGAACTGTAATTAAAATTCTGTCCGGATGCCATCGATGTGCATTGTTTATCTTGAAAGGTGTAATCCAAGATTTCTGGGGAAGGCAAGACGGAGGAAAACTGCTGTAGCCAGCCCATGCTCTGGCTCTTTTTCACTGACTCCTGGAGTTGGAAGGGGCCCCTTAGATCACTGAGCCCAGCTCACCGCTCAGCACAGGAATTCAAAATTAAAGCACGCTAAGATGATTTCCTAATATCTGGTTTAGTTGGAATCTGCCTTCTAGTAATTTAAAACTGTTATATCATGCCTTGCTCTCTGCAATGATAAGAAAATAACTCTAATATTTATTTATTTATTTATTTATTTATTTATTTATTTATTTAAAGTTTTAGATCCCACTCCAATATTCTAGGCAATGTTCTTCTGCATAACATCTTTCCAGTGCTGTCATAGACCCTTCAGTCCTCTTCTGACAGTTAAACATCCCCAGTTCCTTCAGCTTTCTTTGTAGGATGTAATTTCCAGTTCCTTGATCATTCTTGTTGTCCTATGAATTTGGTCCAGTTCGTCTGAATTTCTTGAAAGTTGTGATCGGAACTGGACACAGGTCTCAAGGGAGAGTCTGGCTAATACATAATATTGTGTAACTGTAACTTCCTATGGTTGGGAAACTATCATTCTACCGATGCAGTTCAAAACTGTATTTGCCTTTTTAGTGGCTATGACACACTGCTGACTCATATTCAGAACAGTATTTACACTTACTATTACAAAGTCTGGTATCCCCCATCCTATATCTGTGCATTTAGTTTTTTTTTCTAAATGAACTTTGCTTTTATATCTATTACATTTCAATTTGTTAAGTTTAGCCTACTTCTTTAACCAAAATAAATTTTCTTTTGTTTTTGTCTTCTAAATTAACTGTCCCACCCTGTTTTGTGTGTATAACATGCTTATATAGACATGCCACCCAGCCCCTGTTTAACTAGATTGCTGATCAGAAGGTTATGAACACTCTAGCTAAGTATTTGATATCATATATATACTCATATATATTATGTCCACAACATTCTGACAAGATACTAAGGAAGTTCCCCAATTAAAAATGAGAAATCGGTCAAACAACATCTGTTCTTCACATATCTATGTAGACTTCTAGTAATCACTACATTGTTTTCAAAGTGCTGACAAATTCATTGTGTTATAATTTGCTCTAGAATTTTCCTAGATATTATTGCAAAACTGATTGCTCAGTAATTCTTGGATCCTCTTTTTGACCATATTTGAAGATACAGACCACCTTTGCTCTCCTCTAGACATGTGGCGATGCACCCATTCTCCAGGATTTCTCAAAGATAATGGATAGCAATTTGGCCAAATCATCAGTGCAAATTCCTTCAGTACTTTAGGTTACAATCTACCAGATTTTGGAGATCTGAATTCATGGAAGACCAGGAAGTATTTCCTGAGTAAGTTTCACTATATTTCAGTCAACTTTTGTGTTAAGTAATCTTTACTTGGTGCATCATGCACATGTTTTTGTCTCCTTTGCTTTATAGGAAACAGCTTTGTTTTATAGTGCCCTAGTAATTCCTAAGAATAAGAGACTTTTTCTACGGGACATCGTGGATGAACTCTGTGCTCTGGCATCCAGAGCTGGAGACTAGGCTGCTTTCCTCAGCCAGGGTCTAGGCACAGAGAGGTATGGCAGAGAGAGCTCTAAGCATGGAAGCAGCTGTGGGAGTGGAAAGTACAATTCAGGCTTCCCGAAACTTCTACAGGAATAATAAAGTGGGATGATGGGGAAGGTAAAATGGCTGGCCTGACTTACCTTCCTAGCTCTGTAATTCAAGTGGTGCTGCAATTCATTATCCCCACCCCCCAACCCTACGCAAGAAGCTTTTTCCTGGGCAGCATTTTATCCTGTAAAGAGAAAGAATCAGAAATGAATGGCTGAAGGAAGTGGTGGCAACAGCTGCATGGCTGTTTTTTGCAGAGGTACACATTGAGAAACAAGCAGAATATGGACAGGAAGTACAATTAGACTCTCCAGAAGCCCTTGTCTCTTGAAGAACAAGAATCTGCTTCCAACTTCTCTCTCT